CCATTTTCCTTTCGAATCCACTTTCGACTTTCCTTTCTTCTCCTATTCTTCATCCCAATGGGCAGCCAAAAGACAGTAACCAAAACCGGCGCACCAATATGCGTTGTTAATTGTTGTACAAACTCAACTGAACTGTAGGAGTAATAAGAAACCTAATATGAACACAATACGAGAAGCATCATGGGAGCTCTGTTTTGGAAATGGAGGCAGAACGTAAACTGGGAATGGCGTGATTAAATACCGGAGGAGTAATCTCATTACCTGAATGATCGTCGACTGGTGTTTCATGTTGCAGATCCCTATGGCTACATTCCGACGCCGTTTTTGAGACAGAAAACGAACCTCAAAATGAAACGCGGTAAACGAAAGTTGGGACGCATCGATTATTTATAAACGTTTTATAAGTTGATCAGGTGAACCGTCCGTAGCACAGTGACAACCCCGAGTGAAAAATGTGATCTATCTCATATACACCCGTCTTCCAGGTCTAATTTGGAGCTTTAAGTATCTCTTTAGCGATTGACATAACCGACCGATTTCTTCATGCTAGAGTCGTGCATATGAATGAGTCGGAGATGTATTGTATATTGTCTGGATAAGTAAGTTTCCACGCATCTCCGAACGTAAAATTCATGTGGTGAGGCGGCTGACTTCAGCCACCATTATTACCATTCAAGCATCTTATGATATACTAGCGTAAATGTGTTCGCTTAATTTTTAGAAGAAAATAAAATATGAAAGTATTCAGGTAATGCAAACATGTTAGCAGAAATCATCCACAAGATAGCCAGTGATCCTGGCATTAACGTAGCTTCCTCGTTTTTCGTTCGTTCCTTTGCTTCTGTACTTCCTAAGATCTTGCTGATGTATATACTAGTTCGGTATACGACACCTAAAAAGAAGAATTTCACACAAATGAAAACGATCAGTTTATGGTCCTGACAACGCCAACAGATCACTTTGGTCCTCAATGATACGAAGTGACTCTTAAACGATTCCCCAAAGCTCTTAAAGGATCAAAACCAGTCTCTAGATACAAGGAAACAACGATCACATGCCCATCAAAAGTAAGTCGATGATCGAAGGTTTACCGCAAAGCAGAGACGAGAATGCCGAAGACTTTACTAAGCAAATACTTGGATGGAACACGCATATCAAAAAAAGTATTATTGAAATCGAGAATAAAACAAGTCAAAGAAAACTGTTTTTCGTCAAGAACAACAAATTATGTAGAGTCTTACTTTGTATACTTGAAAAGCTGATTTCAGCGTTCTATATAGGGACATATAGTGCGGCAAGTGACTGAAATAGCCCAACAGTCGCCGACCTACGGTACTGGAACGTGGTTCGTTTGTACCGGTCTGACCTGAAGCTCCGGAATCAGCTGTCGGTTGTCATCCATAGAACGCGCACGCGGGAGAACGGACAAGGGTGAGAGAGAAAAATGCCAATTTACGATCTCGTCCATTATATCTCAACAATAACATTAGGATCAATTCTACATACAATGTGCCCTGAATTGGCTGTGGATTTGTTGAAGATTTCCAATTCGTGTGGCAAAAACCGAAGTACAAACACAATCCCCACAAGCAGAAAAAATTGGATCGTATCAACGCCTCCGGTTGAGCACACAAATACGACACGGCATTTATTAGTAAAAAATAGTACTGTCATACTGACTTACTGTCCATCACGACGAGACTGCAACTTGACGTGGTGTGATGGCTTGTGTGCCTCAATGACCCTGCCAACTACACAGGATGGCTTCTCACAGCCGTAGATCCAATCATGCCTGAAAGGTCAACGGATAGAGGCCAGACAAAGCTCAGTCTCACAAAGCCAGCTGCTTGGGCATCCCCTGGCTTCTTTCTTCTATCCACACCTGCCCCTGGAGAGGTCACTCCAGTAAATAAACACGGTGAGGGGCAGTTTACCGATCAAAAACACCCCGCTAGATGGACGTAGGAGCGGGTTACCTGGGGCTTCCTCTCGACGGTGGGAGAAGTCTTCGCACTTCATTGGACAGCTACCGCCAGCCCAAGCTGGGCAGCCCCCAGCCAATAAGGTGCTTTCTCGTCCACGTTCCTCTTGTCTCATTGGGTGCATGATGCTAGAGGCTGATCCCGAAAAGCGAACCGATAATCAACGCACCAGCGAACAACAAACTTAACCGAAATTCAAAGGCCTTGCGTGACAGGTCTCCGGAAGCTCCCACATGGGTGCTTCGTTCACGCTCCCGCGTTGGATTTACGCCCCACTGCCTTGTGGGTCAGACTTTTGAGTCAAAGGCTCCGGTTAGGGTTCCCAAAGAAAAACCCCTTCGTCGGCGTGGGCTGCCGCGAAGTATGCCGTGCCTTAAGGTCTTAGGCACCCATTTGGAAAACCATCCTTTCCATCTGTCTAGTTCTTCTTCTCAACCCCGAATAATCGCAGATGCCTTCTGTTTACACCACCCATCGAATATCAATCAGCGTTTGACCATCAAGGCCAGAGATTCAGAAGCATACAAGACCCCACTTCTATTATCTCTCAGCATTCTCCTGATCCAACCTGGACCTCAAGCTTTATCCTCAGGCGATTCGGCGTTCGAAGCTCGTGGTGTTGCTGGTTTCGGGATTGCGCTAAGTGCCAAGGCTGAGCGCTCGCTTCTTGACTGGATTCCAGTCAGTAGCCGATTGTGTGCTGTAAGTCTCAACGGTTCAGTTCGAGTCAACAGCTACAGAACGAAGCGTCGATGCTTATTCGTCGTATCCGCGTATGCACCGACCGATTGCAGTATACCTGAAATGAAGTTTGAATTCTACAATGATCTTTCTTAACTACTCCAAAGTGCTCGGTCAACGGACGTCGTAGTAGTCGCCGAAGACTTCAATGCTCAAGTGGGGTTCCTGAACGAATCAGAAAGGCTTCTTGGCGGACCACATGCAATCTCAGCCAACAGGACGGACAACGGAGATCGCCTACTTCAACTCTGCACGGACCACGGATTGTTCCTGTCAAACACGAACTGTCCCACACAACAAACGCTATCGACTTACATGGAAACCGCCAACCTCTTCATTGCGCTGGACCCAAATCGACCACATCACAATCAGTTACCGCTAGAGGGGATCAATTCAAGACTACCGCTCTTACTGGTCAACAGCTGTGGAGACAGACCACGCCTTGTTACGGGCCAAGTTCTCCTTACGCCTGGCAAACAACCGCAAAAAAGCCACCGACAACGGATACCCGCGATACAGTGTCAGCCGTCATGCAAATCGGCCATCGAAGCGGAGCTCTCCGATCGCCTGTCAGTTCAACCACCAGCCGAAAGACTCAATGAACACTGGGAGCAAATCAAGAAAGCTATACAGATATCGATAAAAACAACGTCGGACCCTGCCTCAAGCTCAAAACACAAATGATGGATTTTGTCGACCTCGGTTGCCTTGCTGGACGTCCGCAGAGCTCTTCCTCCGGATGCCACATACGACACAGCGCGTAAATCCCTTACACGCCAGCTCATCAATAGTCTGAGGAATGACCGCGAGAAATGGTGGGTAGAAAAGTGTAAAGATATGAGGAAAGCTGCGGCTATTGGTAATAGTCGTAACCTGTTCTATCTAATTATGAATATGGGTCTTAGGAAAATGGGCGTCAGTGAGGTAATTAAAAAATCCGATGACACACTGATTCACGATCAGCAACGCCGTCTTGACTGTTGGGCTGAACATTTCAAGGCTCAGTTCAACTGGTCCCCAACGACATCTTATCTTTCACTCTCCGCCTCGACTGGACAAATACTCCTATCTGATGCTAGTCCTCCATCTGGAATGAAGGTTAACCGGGAAATAGGTTATCTCAAAAGACATAAGGCCACTGGCCCAGATGGACTGTTCCAATCCGTTTTTAAGGATGGAGGCTCAGGGTCGGTCTTGGAGTTGACCAAACTCCTTGGTTCAATATGGGAAACGGAAGAGGTTCCAACTGAATGGTGTGAATCGGTGACCACACCGATTTACAAGAAAGGTGATAGATCCTCTCGTGAAAACCATAGGGGAATTAGTTTAATCAACATCGTCTCTAAACTTACCGCTGGCATCGTACTTCACCGATTGTCTGCCGCACGTGAACGATGCACGCGTGAGAACCAGGCTGGTTTTAGACTCGGTCGAGGTTGTATCGGCCATATCTTCAATGTGCCAAATTCTAGAGCACTGGTATTCTTTTCGTAGACCCACCATATCTGTCTTCCTCGATCTAAAAGTGCCTTTCGATTCAGTCGACCGTTTAAACTCTGGCGCTGCCTTTCCCTGAAAGGTGTGCCCAAGAAATTAATTTCAATAATACGATCGCTTTATACTAATAGCCGAAGTCGAGTCCGTGCTTACGGTACTTTTTCGCCTGAGTTCACCACGGAAAGTGGTGTTCGTCATGGTTGCCCTCTCTACCCTTCCGTATTTAACTTGGTTATAGATCTGATTATGGAAACAGCCTTATGCTCGTGCAAGGATAGTGGCATCGATTTACTTCCGGGTGGCAGACTGTCTGATCTAGAGTACGCAGACGACATCGTGCTACTAAGTGAAGATTCAGGTAAGTTGCAAGCCTTTCGGGATAGTCTGAGTGCTAGTGTTGCCATGTTCGGTATGCGTTTTGCACCTTCAAAGCGTAAAATGCTACTTCAAAACTGGGATGATCAAGCACCCAGCCTCACTCTAACTGGGGAAGTAATAGAGCATGTGGATAAGTTTTGTTATTTGGGCAGCTACATCTCACTCGGTGGACGCATCACAGGTGAAGTGTCTGCTCGCATNAACCAGGAGACTAGGTCATAGAGGCCCCGTTAGGCTCCCTGGCTGCGGACCTCGGGATGATCGTAACCGATGGTTAGAGACACTGAGTGATATGGTGGGTGTCGCAAACAGTGGCGCTCATGCATCCACTCGTTATTCTCCTAACACCACTCTATATGAATTCCCTATCTTCCGCTTGAATTTGCTTTGATATTCCAATCTTCATCTTGGTCCTTTATCCAAATGGGCAACCAATAGACAGCAACCAAAACCGGCGCACGAAAGTGCGTGGTTAATGGTTGTAAATACTGAACTGAACTGAAGTGACTTACCGTGAACTGTTTTGCGTAGCGGACTGTTCAACTTCAAACCTCTTCTTCCTCCACCAGACTGAACACTGACCACACTGACATTAGCAGCTGCCGCTGCGCCCTGAACAGCCTTGTTCGCTGCCGCCTGAGTAGCCTGTGCGACCGCATTCGCACCGGTCTGTGCCAAAATGGTGATGGAATTCAGGATACCGATCGGGGCGTCCGGATGGAAGGGATCAGCAATCAGTCCGGTCGAGGGAGCCGGAGACGGTGAGACCTCATCGACCACGTGCCACAACACAAACAATACACTGCAATATGGAATAAGCATCGAGGGGAGAATAATGAGCGGTTGATAAGGTACATAGGACACTCGTTGTCAGTTAGCATTAGGTGAGAAAGAATATCACAAATAACCCTCTGAGTTGTACCCGATAGCCATAGGTATGTGATAACTTTGTTTTTTCAGCATGGCAAAATATCAACATTTTCATTCGCCTTCCTCGTGAAGGGAAATGTGCATTTAAATGAAACGACTATCTTTTTTGATCAAGAGTGAAATAAGACAATTGAATTCCCTTCATGAAAGTCAGTTTTTTGGGACGACGAACTGTAAATTGATGTGGCGTGGAATCAATCTATTCTACGAGTAGAAGAAAATGATTTTAGTTCTTCTATTGATATTGCGCTACTGAATGATATATTTATTCATCCTTCGTCTGATACATGCCCCAGTTATATTGACTCCAGTTATCCAAACATCCCATGAGTTTGAAACCACTAACTCTATGAACGTATGAAACGTATGAACACACCGCACCTGGTTCAGAAAAATCTGAGTCCCATACTTGTTAAACACGGTGCTGAGCCCATGTCTCACATTTTGGCACACATAGTTAGTCTTTCACTTCAACTCCGAACCATTCCGCAGTGCTGGTGCCCGGCAAGAATTACACTCATCGCCAAAGGAACAACAAAGGCCTCGATAAGGAAACATTGCAGGCCAATTGCTCTCAATTCCACTGATTTGAAATTGATTGATCAGACCATACTTGTTTGGAATCACAAGGAAGAAAAAGCTGTTAATCGATCTGGATGGGAGAAAACAGTCAGCGTATCAAGATCCGATCGAAAATCAATCAGGTTAATCGGGGACACAGTAGACTTACCGGGCAACATGATGCAAGAAAGATAAAGCGAATCGGGTGTAGGCGTGTTGCAAATCCAAACTCATCGAGGCCAAACCGGTCGGAATACTGCCTTCGGTCAGGGCGTGAATAGCCCAACCTGTGGACGTGAAGATACGAGGGGAAGAAACATGGGACGGAGGTGATGTTCGGTGTATCCTCAAAAGCGAAAGATCTGAATGACAACACGGTTGAGAACTACAAATTAACAAACCCAGATTTGAGCGCATTCGTCATATGTGCAATGCAAACACTTTTACTATGATGAGATGGAGCAACTTGTGTGTCTGTGTGACTACAGGATTAAACGGGAGGATCTTCTGGAATGTAAACGTCTCACGATGACAAAATGCAGATTGAAGCAGGCAACAGATGCCTAGTTGCTTGACTACGGATCAATAGTGTCGACTTGTCCATTCATAGAGCATGGTGAGAAAAATGCTTGCAACTTTGACACAAAAAAAAAGAGTACAATTAAATCACTTCGAATGCACAGTTGATAAAAGTTTATATAGAGACCGTGGCACCTAAGCACTGAAGGTGCCTGCTATGTTAACCGAAGGCTATCCGAGTCGATCAGGTTGTTATAGTAAGCACGCAAACGATACTAAGAGAGATCATCATCACATGGGCTCTATATGACCCACTTTTTCGCGGAATTTCATAACGCCCAATTAAAGTTTTGTGTTTTCCATTCCAGAATATAGATTTAGGTTTATCTCGTGTAGACAAAATACTTATGGCAACTATTACACGGGTGAAAGTAGGAAGTTCACAGGATACAGTTTCGTTTATGCATCATCAGATTCAAACAATAGAGCGGTGACTTTCTTGTTAAAACATAACGGAAATCTCACAAGAAAAATAGCAAATTATCATCAGATCATACTACCACTTTGTCCGGTAAGAGGGGCACAGTCTGTTTGACGATTAATGTATTCCAATCTGGCCATTTGTAGGCAAATCCAAATGAGTAACTTAAATCTCGGTGCTGTCGCCAAGCAAAAGTATTGATCGAATCTGCTAGCAAGACCCTTTAGTCAATGGTCGTCTAAACCGATTGATTGTCATCTTCAACCTTTGGTCTCCCAACCCTTCTGTGATTTCAGTCTATTTGTATCGCATACATCCACACAGTGGTTAAGAATAAAGGGAATGAGCACCGTGAACCAGACGTACAATAGAACTTTCTCCAAGTTTTAGCGTCTTCTGCAAATAGTAGTGTATTTGTCCCAAGGGCATGTAGTAGGTCGTTTATAAATGCCGTGATCGGTTATCTAGGAAATAGCCTGGTGCAGGTAAGGTGTCAACAGTGTGCCAACGTGACCTTGTATGAGATACATCTTAATCCAGCAGGTAAAGCAGAATTTACTCACTGAAGAAGAACATGTGGTTAAGACTATCAGAGAATTGAAAAAACGAGATGACCTTTTGGGTGGGATGCTTCCTCAAAGTGCATCAATCGGACACATAAAAGCACATTTGCTTTTAAGCCAAAAATATCACTGGGAACTCACGTAACAGACAGCCGGTAGTTAGGGAAACCAGTTCAGTGTGTAATTCCAAATCCACGGCGGTCACATTAGTGGCAGATAATAAAGTCAGACAGTGCCACGAGAGCAGTGCGATCCGCGGTCGACGTTGCCGATCTAACAGAGAACTGGGAACCGAAGGATTAGGGGTAACACCCGCATCAAGCGAAGATGGAGGATCGCTGGAATCCGGCTGGTCTATTGAGATGACGCATTGATCGTACCAGACACGGGAATGCGCGAGAATCGAAGTTTGACCCAGGATACGATTCAAACAACGAATTACACCGTGCTAAAATTGATAGAGCAAATGGGAAACAAACATGTAAGAGTTTTTGATTGACCTTATAAACTACCCTTCATAAACGCTTAGTATTCATTAACACAGACATCAATTGGAGTGTGAACGACCAACACATGACACTGGTTCACTAGAAGTGTGTGTCTAGGTTCTATCGGAACAAGATTTGATCACCAAAATGAGTCAATACATTCCTATCCGGTCTGGTGGACAACATTTGCTGGTCGGTTTTGTGTTGACACAAGTGCCATGGTTTGATAGATTATGTATGAGCACGTCGAGACCAACGCGGATGAACTTACCAACATGTATCGATCATCTGGTATCAAACTAGCACAGGGTAATTCCAGCAGCGCGGCCACACATTCGCGAAACAGTCGTAACGGGCCTGCAAGAAGTACACGATTCGATAGATCGGCTCCATTGATTAGCTCCAGATGGGGTAAGCGTATCCCGTACGAACCGGGCACATGATGCAACAAGCTGCCTGGACCGACATCTAGTTCCGCGGGAAGATCAGATAGACAGGGTGGAAAACTTTGCGGAGACCAGCACTCCGTAAGACCATAGGACAGGGTTGGAGAATCTAGTAAGAAAAAGTGATCAGTGAGTATATTTGAACACTAACATATAATATAATAATTATATCAATATCTGCATTGCTGTCTAACTTTCCCTACTTCTCCAAATCACATTGCAGCCTTTTGGTTGACCGCTTCCTGATAATTATATAATTCTTTATTCAATAAATGGAAATAGGGGAACAAAAATAGATGTCAAGCAAAAGCGCTTCTAGAGGCCTCTGCGGGTCCCAGATAGACAAACGATTAGCAGCATGGAGAGGACAATCAGCAATTTTGTTGAAAATTTTCAACCAACGATTTCCTGGTATACGAAATAGCCCTATCTAACCGACTACTTCCGAAATTGTCGCATATGGTCACACTAGTACAAATAGTTGTGAAAACTGATCGTCGAGCATTCTCTATGAGATAATATCACTAAGCTAGTAATATACCACCAGTCCTTTGAGCCAGAGCTTCTTTGAAGGAAAAAATTCGACATTAATTGTACAATTACCGGTTCATAGATCATCGAGAAGAGGTACATTTGAGTGAGATGTATTCACAATCAAAACCTACAAACATTTTCATATAGTCTACAATGTCGCGTGTGAAGGAAAAGGAAAGTGAAGTGAAATGTTGTAAAAAACAGTAGAGTTAATTGAAAGCGGAAAGGAATCCCCAGCAGTTGGAATCTATTCACCTTACTGACGATCGAACCCGGGACTCTGTTCACATATAGAAGTTAAATCTAACAAACAACTGACCAAAAGAAGTTGAAATATACCTTTTCCAAATCATTAGTGATTAATTCACTGATCGTACTCATTTCACACAGTACTCCATGTCAACTCAGGGGTTCTGCAAGGTGCTATCCTTCAATCATTTTTTATCATTATGTCAGTGAACTTCCTATTCCTTCTACATTTACTGGAGAATAATATACCGATAACGCAGTACTTGGCCGTTAACGTTCACGCTCCAAAGAATCCCCTAACTTTCAAAGGGGACTGGATACAGTCTTTGGGTGGTCCACATTGCCTTGTCTTATTCCGAGCACTTCCCAATATCAGGATTTGAATTTTCACTACAGCCCGGTGAGCCATTAAGGGCTCACAGAA